TTAGTGAGTGTGACATCTTTGATAGTCAGAACAGTATCAGGGTGGGAGACATCTTGAAGAACCTTAGAGACAAGTCCTGGATCATTCTGAAAGAGATTCTGAAGGCTCAAAGAGACTAAACCGATGGGACGGGCTGCTTTTAAGCTCCCGCTCTCATACGATCTCAGGTTACTGCCAATAAATGTAATCTCTTCCAGATGAGTGAGCCCTTCTAAACCATTCTTGTGTACCTTCCTTAGCGATAGACTACCAAATCGCAGAGTCCTCAAGTTAATGAGAGACTGGAAGATGGAAGCAGGTCCCAAGGTGGAGTACGGGTTTCCTACAAGGTTCAATTGCTGAAGAGATTGTAGCTCATGGAACCAAGACGAAAACAGTTTTTCCAGGTTGTTTGAGGACAGATCAAGAACTTTCAGATTACGTTGAGATTTGAATGCCTCCTTGTGTATAAACTTGAGCTTGTTCCTATGCAAGTTTAGGGTTTTCAGTGCAATATAAGGGCTGAGATCATTTATGTCAATAGACACAATTTGATTGAAAGACAGGTCAAGGCCAAGAGCATTCGACGGAACCTTTGGGACTTGTTGGAGTTCATTTGAGGAGCAATTGCAAAAATATTTCTGATCACATTGACATGTCCTGGAGTATTCAAAGCCTTGAGCCAAAATCAACATAAGAAGAATCATGGACTCCTTCACACCCATGACTCTCATCCTGTAAAAAGAAAAAGATAACAAATATGTATACTTTTATTCAGTAAGGATGCATTAAATTGATCAAAAGTGATAGTGAAGACTTTTACATCACTTTTACAAAATTCCATTTCAAATAAATGCTGTACTTTTGAACTTTACCAAAGAATCCTAAAAAAGGCGTATATTTCAGCGAACACAAGAACAGAAAACAGAAGTTCTTCATTTCCAAAATAGTCATTCAGTCAACACACTCTCTTTGTATCTAACCTCTATTACAGCCAAGTACAATCGCAAGCTGATGTTTGCAGTCAAATATTAAAGTGCTTCCAGCATATTCTAAGACAGAATTTTGTTTTAATATGATTACCTGTCTGCTATTATTGTGTCTGCTCCTCTTTTGTACGCAAACGTCAGTTTGGGAGTAGTCATAATAAAGGAAAACAAACAGAATAAAAACATGTGAACAGTGTGAGTCACAGGAGGTAGTGAAACTGAATAGCCTGATTGAAACTTACAAAATCATGTCTCTTTTTTTCAGCAGCATAATTTTACGGAACCATATCTATAAAACAGATTAGTCTAAGAGCATGTCTATATTTACACACACACTGCACATGTACTGTAGTGTATTTTTCAGACCATCCGTAGTCCGTCTCAGAATGTCTTACACAGCTTTTATTCAAATAGTTTTGTGTAAAACTATTTCAGACATGTTTCTATGTTCGCTTCACTAAACACTGCATTAATTAAGGATACGAAAAGAGGAAGCCTTTTCGTGTAAGGTATAATTAACCTTACCACTATAAAGCATCACTTACTGTATCTCTTGTGGTTATTGCAGGACACATCATGTGCTCCACATACTGTAGCAGCTTTAATTCAAGACAGTTTGCTGTTGTACACTCATGTAGAATAAAAATGGACCAACTATATAGTGTTGTTTTAATGAGTCAGTTTTGTTCCACTCAAAATGAATGGCTTCAGACAGTAGTTGAGAAATGTCTAAATGAAGAGTTCAGATGCAAAAGCCTCTAATTGCCATTTGAAATTTTCTTCTAGAATGATAATTTTTATCAAGCTTGTATATTTAAGTTCAGTGATTTCACTTAAATGGCAATGATAATTACCTATTAATTGTTATTTAAGTGAAATTACTGAACTTGAATATACAAGTTTGATAAAAATCATCATTAAAGAAGAAAATTTCAAATGGCATTTAGAGGCTTTTGCATCTGAACTCTTCAAATATTCACTATAGGGTTCAGTTTTATAGCATTATACTAGCCCTGGCATAGATCATTTAATGTAGCCTATTCCTTTTTATTTTTATTTATTGCAGTCTTGACTCTCGACCCATTCGCGGCAGACCATTGCGGTGAGCTTACCCAAGACGTCAAATTTCATCGCTACTGGCTCTGGTTAAGAGATCTATAGAAGTCTATCGGACTACCCTGCACGTTGAAAAATTACGCCAAAGGTATACCCAGTGCGTCAATAAGTGACGCAAGCATCTATATGTGACGAGTTGGGGTGTGAGAATGTGTTGGTTCAAATCTGGACTCTGACCAGGCCCAAATATAAGCCTGATGGGCTTGTTCTCAAGCCATGTCTTGGTTGTCTTTGCAGTTTGGGCTGGAGAATTGTCTTGTTGAAAAATAACATCTGATAATTTCTCTTCAGATAACAACTTTTCATTTGTGGGAAGCAAGCCATTCACTCCAGTGACTTTCCACAGTGAATTAGTTCACCAACACCAGCTGCGTAAAAGGCTCCCCACACAATGACACACCTTCCTTCATGCTTCCCCTTATGAAAAAGAAGTTTATTCAAGTGTGCTCTTAGTATACTTCTTTAAAACTAAAAGTAGACTTTCAGTCTACTTTTGATGTACCGGTAAAACATACTTTGTTCTTCTCAGAAGTATACTTAAAATACTGACAGAACAGTCTTAGTATATTTGGATAGGTACTCGATATTTTGATCCAGATATATTTAAAAGTAGGCCATAATGAAGTATTCTTAATGAAGTGTACTTGGCTTGGAGTTGTGTTTTCTCTTTTGATTGCGTAGCCTATTAAGATTATAATATTAATAATTATATATTAAATGTTTGAAAATATTGATTTATAAAGAAAACCCTTTTTTTTTTAAATCCTGAGTATGAGAATTCTTGTGTAGGTTAGTCCACTTGTATTGTACACTTTGTTTTTTAATTTCCTGACCAATAATTTGTGGTTGAGATAATTAAAAGTTTACTGTTTAGCCATTTTGGGCTTGACCCTTTCTTTTATATATATATATATATATATATATATATATATGTTTACATTATATTTTATAGTATAAAATACATTTATTTGATATATTTTTTAGCAAAATAAAACAAAATAGAAGAGTATTGTGGTGAAATCCTGGAATCATCATGCATATAATATTACACATTTAAATAAAAAAAATTGCAATCACAATATGAGTTCTTTGTATCTGCTCTTGCAGGATATTAAATGTTAAAAAGCCTTCTCTTTTTTGACCTTTTTGTTCCTCTGGTAAATGACAATCTAAAATCCTTGTGGACTCCTCCCTTGTGTCACTGTAAATGACAGGTGAAAAGAGACATGAGCCTATATCAGACATAAATAACTACCTCAATTCATTTGGGAAACATGAAGGCTACTTTTCTATTTCTGCTTCAGTTGATTTGAACTGTTGGCAACACAACAACCTTTCTGTATTGTTTCAATTTATTTTAGATATACAGTACTGGCAAAATAAATACATCACGTTTAGTGTAAACCAAACATGCATAAAACAGAAGAAAGCAGAAAATGTATTTTGTTATACGTATAACTCAACTTTTGGACTGGTTTTACACTAATGGGTGAGATAGGAAACAAGCAGTTTATGATAAAAAGTGTGCATGAAATCATAATAATCTGGTCTCTGGAAATATATTTTCTTCTAAGTAAATCTAAGGGATTTTATATGCTACCAGGCCAAAACTGAAAGTCTTGATTACTTTGTGTGTGTGTGTGTGTGTGTGTGTGTGTGTGTGTGTGTGTGTGTGTCTGCAGCACAAATGGTGCAGGGCAAGTTATGCACCTTTATTAGGCTATGCAAAACCCCAATCATATACATGATCAATAGTAATTTATTCATGTGTCTAATGTTTTTAATTTTCTCAGAGTAGATGTGTGAACATCCAAATGCAAAGGGTCATTAAATGAATAGTTCACCCAAAAATGATAATTCTATCATAATTTACTCACCCTCATGTTGTTCCAAACCAGTTGACGGTAACTATAGCCATTGACTTAATTGGAAAAAACCAACCCGATAGTGTTGGAAAAAACAGGACTATTACGGCTACCATCAACTCTCTGGTTACCAACATTCTTTAAAATATCTTTTGCTTTCAACAGAAGAAAGAAATTCATACAGGTTTGGAACAACATGACGGTAAACAAGTGGTAACAGAATTTTTGGGTGAACTGTCCTGGGATAATGATGTCAAACCACCACAGTATAGGCTATTCTGGATCTGGGAAATGGACAGTAATTAAGAGTAGCCCTCAATCACAACCCCAATCGACTTTTATTTAATAAAAAAAGGTTACCTTCATCTCAGTGGAATAAGATTTTGTGACGTTTAATACATTATCTATCTACACACACAAAAAACTGAAGGTATGTAAAAAAATGTTTACACTTCTGGTCTTCGGGGTCAATATGGCCCCACATTGAAATGAATGAGAAATGTGAAAAAATAACTCAATATATTTTCTTCATGTGTCTTCATTCATTTTCACTTAATTTTCTTTAAATATATGTTCTTCAAAAAAAAAAAAAAAAAAAATCCGGCATAAATCTGAAAATTTGTGGAATTGTGTGGTAGACCTATAAGGATACAAAAGTACTTTATATCTCCAAAAACACAGCATTAATGAATAGATGAGAAGTAAACAAAAACAAAAAATGAAATATTATTTGTAGCCTAAAAACAGGAAACAAAGACCATTTTGAAGGTTAAAAAAATAATAATTGTGTCCTTGAGGAAGACAATTGTACCAGAGGAAACTGCTTTAATATTATGTCACTACATTATCATAGACATCATCATTGACATCATGATGTATATGGGCTCAATAACTTCTAACATCAGTTAGCACCATGGCTTAGCAACGTTTACACGGTTGACCATAAATTCATACGCGGGCGCTTTAACTTGCGTAACCACAGCTAAGTCCCGCCTACAGATCGGCAGCTATTGGTTCAAAGTATGAGTTAAGTGAGTTTTAATTGGATGCCTAAGATGCCATTTAAAAAGCCCGGAACTAAATGCAGCTGTAAACAACCGAAGCGTGCCCTTGTAGATACCATACAGTTGAGGTTTTATATACATTTCAAGAGTACACTTTTTAGAATATATATATATATATATTTGTGCTACAGTCATGCCGACTTCCCCTGTGAAGACACGGATTCCGCTGACAAGTTTTGGTCATCTTATAAGCGAAGTGAAGGTAGACAAAATAATTCATTGTGTGTTCAACATATCGCTGCCATGCATGCTGTCATATAAAATAAATAAAATATAAATTATAAATGTATAAATAAATATAAAGATATGAAACATATGCTCTTGTCATTCAGAAAATCACGAGAAAGTGTCTCTACCTTTAACGTTATATCACCAAGAGTTGCTTACAAATAGGCCTGGCCTGGGACATATAAAACTCACAGTAAATGCCATACGCATATGCTTATTCAGTTATTTCAGTACCATGGTATGCATAAAAGTATGATATTACTACCTACTTATTAATGTATTTTTTTTTGTTTTTTGTTTTTTGTTTTTTTTTGTTTAATGTACAAAGCTAGAACAGTAAAGCGTAGCCCAAGTGGGGATATACCATTTTTTAAATGGTTTGGACATTGTGTCAAATCTTGATATTTTGTAATGTGTATTTTTTGACAGAGACAGCTCTTCGGGATTGAAGCACCAACCCCAACTGAACTGACTGGATGGAGGAAACATTTCAACAGCTACACAATACAAGGACGCAGAAATGTAAGGTCCTGTTTCTCATTACTGAAGAATTACCGACGGTATATGCCTTGTCACCAAGAGCAAGCCAGACTGTTGATTGTTCAAAGATAACAGTAACATCAAGAACACCTGCTTGCGTCACCACTTTCTAATTGTGTCATTTTTTTCTCCCACTTATTCCCTTTTCCAGTTTGTTCTTGCCACATATGGTATTCTTGCACTCACAGCTGCTGCCTACATGCTGAGACGCAGCAGCAGGAAGGAGGAACATGAAACAGCATCTGCCTCCTCATAAACTAAAATGGAAAGTTTGGGGGGTTAAAAATACAATAAATATTTATGATCACTATAGATGCGAGGACTGTGGTTAATGAAGTTTTATTCTCTACATGTCACCTGCCAGATGTTTTCTGTCTTTATCACACATACATAAAAAAATGATTAAAGTCGCAGTTGTTTTTCACCCATTAGTCATTTGCCAGTAGAGTTCAGTGTAAGCTTATTGTCAAGTGCATTTCTTAGAAGCGATTTGCTTTATCTGTTCTAAAGGCAAATTGGGTGGTTATTTTACAGATGTTGATTTTAGGTTAGTGAAACTAGGAGGGATGGGGGATGTTTTCCTGTAAAATGAAATTTTCAGAAATAACAGTGCTGTTGTAATGTATCTTTTTTCTTCTTTTTGTTTCATTTCAGTTCATCATGGTCGGGATCATTCTGAAAGTGAAGCTTCATTTAAATCCTGTTTTAACCTACAATATTCTGTTATTATGGCAATCAACAACCCCTTTCCTTTAACAACCCAAATTTCTGCCGTATGATTTTTTTTTAAACTCTTTTTGACAGGATGTACTGTACAAATAGTTGATAGAGTTAATGTGCTAAAGTGAAACTAAAATGAAAGCACACCTGAATACAGATTGGGGGGGGGGGGGGTATGACATACAAAGAAAGGCCAGTAGCAAAGAGCCATAGTAATTTCTCTGTTGGTGAATATGCAGGCGCTGTGTACATCAGGCAGTTGATGTCAGTGGCACGAGAGTTGAATTTTTATTTTTATTTATTTTTTTTAAATTTGGGGCTCATTTCAAAAGGAAAACTGCTTCAAGTGGAAATTTATGTTTATGACTCATCTGCAGTAAAGTGCAAGGTATTATTATTATTATTATTAATTTGCAAACAAACATGAAAAAAATATATAAATGAAAATATAATGATTAATGCTTGATTTATTTTTTTAAGCAAACATAATTGTTAAAGATATTTAAGGATTTGGGAGTGTTTTCTGATGTTTTTGATGCCCTGAACCTAATGTGTGATGAATTATTCCATGTATATTTCTTAAATTCTGTCTTGCCTGTCAGGGATATATTTAACAGATGCGTTTAGAGATCATAAGATTAAAGAGTCAGAAGAAATCTTAAAGACATCTAAAGAGTACAGCATCTGTTTACAGTCGAAAGTGGTTGTATGTATCCATTTACCAGTGAATGCTGCGGTTTTTTGGGCATTTTTTGTCTGGCACATGAAAAAACAAACTGAACACTTTAACATTGTTTACGTTTTACTTTAAATGAGTATTTAGGTATTTTTCTGTTTTAGAAAAAAAAAAAAATCTAAATCTTAGTATAAGATGCTACAGGCTATAACATTGACTTATGCACTTATGATGTTGTTTTAGTTTAGCCTATGTAATTTCTGCAGAGTCCATGGAAAATAACATTGCATTTCTTAAATGTGTGGCTCATATGTGTCTGTCATATGTAATCCACGCTGGCTATACGGTTACACTCGTAAACAATAAAAGTAAGCCAGGGATAAAACATGATATTTAACCCTTAACCTGTCAAAGGCGACGTGAGTTGGAAAAGATCACGTGATTTAAAGTAAAACAGACCTCCGAAGTGAAAGTGAAACAAAAATGCACTTAATTGCAGGCAAAATAAATAATTAGCAAGTACAGACTCGTTTCAGTCATTGATTATGCGACAGTTGTTTGCTTTTATTGGGCTTTTCATCAGCATTATGTGCTCAAATCGCCATTTCGCCATTTTGAAGGCATTGAAAGAGAGTGCTGCCAAAATCCAACCGCATTCCCACTTCTAGGATTTCTCTTGGCACATTAACAACTGAGTGCTCAGAGAGGGATGTAAATAAGATACGATTGGATACATACATCCAAACACAGTCCAATAGGAAGATATCCTATGTCTCATGTCAGTCAATGATGTGCCACAAGCGAGACCGCCTTTTATAGCCTATATTTATGTTCAAACTTTCGCTTTCGGTATAGTTTTGTAAGTGAAATGGTCAGCCTAAGAATCGCGTAACAACTAAAAATGTAGCATCGCAGGAAATCTTTACACAGTTCTGGAGAATTCTGGGTTAGTCAACATCAAACTGCATTTGCGGTAAGTTGGCTAGTGGTTTTATACCGGACTGCATGATGGAGGTGTTTCTTTCACCTTTCACAGTGACGTTCTCCATGTATTAGGTACCGTTTTGTGAAAACATTTTCAGTAGAAATGTAACTTAATGTTTATTCTGAAACACGTATGCTTACGTGACAGATAATCGTTTTTTTTTTTGCCTGTTTTACTGGAGAAACGTTTACATTTAATTTCAAAGTTCTTTCCAGAAATCATATAGCCTAGGCTTGTGTTTCAGAGAAGACAGGGGGCTTATTTTCTTCTGCTAACGGTTATACAACCTACTCGTCTGAAGCTATAACATCAAGATTCAAAGGATTATGCAGCCGACCAAAATTATGTTTTTTAAAATATGCTTAAATAATTAAATGTATTTATACAAATAAAAATATGTAAAAAAGTTTGATGTGAATATTGTTTTGATAGTGTATAGGTGAAGGAAATATAAAGTTTTTCGAGAAATAGTTGCCTATTCTAAATGACATCGTTGTAGACTATTCATGTTGGTTTCATATATTTTTCTTAAAATGTTAGCCTATTTTTTCTACTGTTTTTTGATTTACAAATGTGATGTCACCAGTAACCATCAAGTAAAAAGTACTTAAATGCTTTCACTTTGGGTACAGTACAGTCATCTGTGTATAAAATAGTTTAATTAAAAGGCTAATTAAAAAAATATATCAAAACTTGTTCCTAGTGTTACGCAATTTGACCTGAACAAAATGTTCCTTTAAAAAAACTATGAGACACAGTTATGAGAATTCTGCTTTTCTGTTGTTGTATTTTTATCATTGCTCTCAATTGCCAAGTATGTTGGTTACGCAGCGCTGAGTTTGATTTGGCTCACAAAACAAAAGTATTGCCTATAAAAATATATATTTTTAAAACAAAAATTTCTCAAGCATTATCTGCATACAAATCAAATTCCTTTTGGATTCTGTTTCTAAGATTTTTACTTAGAATTGCTCAAAAATGACAGTGAATAAAAGTACTATTTCTAGGGTATTTTTATGGTACTAAATTATATGTATGTAATAATTGTGATCCATTTATTACCTGTTATTATTTTTTATAGACCTGAAAATTGTAAATCTTGAATGCTTTGGAGCACAGACTCAAGTTTGCTTTCTTTTATAAGAAGACTTGGCAGATTATTGTTTAAATGGAAAAAGTTTTTTAAAAAGTGAAACAAAAAATATTCAAGTTTAAGATTATTACTATGAAAAAATGCATAAAATACTATTTTTAAATTTGAAATATGAAGAGTTCAGATGCAAAAGCCTCTAAGTGCCATTTGAAATTTTCTTCTAAAATGATCATTTTTATCAAGCCTATATATTTAAGTTCAGTAATTTCACTTAAATGACAATGAAGATTACCTATGAATTGCCATTTAAGTGAAATCACTGAACTTAAATATACAAGCTTGATAAAAATTATCATTCTAGAAGAAAATTTAAAATGGCACTTAGAGGCTTTTGCATCTGAACTCTTCATATATTCCAAAAAATTAATATACAAGTTAAAAAAAGGAGCTTTCAGTAAGATTTGGGGCGCAAACGTTTCCACAAGATGAAATTCAAATTTTGATGAAAGTGTGAATGTTTTAAGCTATTCGAATCATGTCCATCTTTTTTTGTGTGTTCACATAGGACGTGCAAAAACATTTCCCAAGTTTTGTACCATTTTGATGAAGTAAAAAAAAAAAAAAAAAACGTAAAATTTCCAAAAGGATTAAAGCCAATCTTTGGTTAAAGCTGAGCTTAAAGGTCCCGTTCTTCATGATCCCATGTTTCAAACTTTACTTAGTGTGTATAATGTTGTTGTTAGAGTATAAATAATATCTGTATAATAAAGCTCAAAGTTCAATGCCAAGCGAGATATTTTATTTAACAGAAGTGGCCGTTTGGACTACAACTCTCTACTTCCTTCTTTAATGACGTCAGTAGAACAGTTTTTGGACTAACGTACGTCCGCCCACAGGAATACACCCTCAAATCCCTCAACAAGCGCACTTCTTATAACTTACTGTGTTTACTCAGCTCTAACAGTGATTTTCTGAAGTAAAACTGACGCTTCATCTTTTGTGTGATGTACAATGAACTGTATTAAACTCATCAGTATATGTTTGATCATCATTCGGACCTGGTCCGAAACAGCAGACGTGTAAGTTAGGCTATTAATAAATAATACATACAAGCAGATGACAAAAACGTTATAATAACCGTAATTAAACTACTAAACTATACCTGTTCCATCTCTATACAGCACTGTAGGCATTATTGTCTGACTCAAAATGAACACACATGCTGTAAAAAAATGATATGTTGGGTATTTTGAGCTGAAACTTCACACGCACATACTAAGACTTATTTTATATCGTGTGAAAAGGGGCATAATACGGGACCTTTAAAATCCACTGTACATTCTCACGCCTACTCAAACACTTTCTTGCAAACTCACAGGCTTTTCTTGAATGTGTCCGGACATGAGCTCTTCCCACTTCTTGATGTCTGAACTCTTTGTTCATTTGCACAGGCTGCTGAATCATTCATCTATGCTTTGGGATCATGGAGGGATGGTATGAGTGGGCCCCGATTCAGAATGGTCCTGCATAATGACTCTGAACATACAGTTGCGCCACAGGGCCCATCCAAGCCGGCCGAGCCCCCTAAACCCTGCTCCGAGCCCCTAACACACTTTCAGCCCTTTCGGCACCAGCAGGAATGTGACCTCATCACCCAGGCTGTGGATTACTTGAAACAAAGTGGATTTTACTGGGGTCCCATGGAAGCAGATGAAGCTCACGCAAAACTGGCCAAACTCCCTCTGGGGATGTTCCTGATCCGGGACAGCATGCAGGCAAATGTTTTCTTCACTCTCAGCTATCGGGCTCCCGAGGGCCCGACCAGCGTGCGGGTGCTCCTAAAGGAAGGAGGATTCAGTTTAGCAGGAAGTAAACATACTTTCTCTTGCCTTTTCCAGCTACTTGGATACTATATTGCGTCCCCAAAAAAGAGTCTGACTATGCCGTATCGTGGAGATGCGCCGCAGAGCCTACAAGAGCTGGCAAGAAGAGCTGTGGTACAGAGTTATGGTAAAGATAGTATTCACCAACTGCCTGTGAGCAAGAAACTTAAAGAATTTCTATGGTTGTACCCTTTTAGTATATGAATGTGTGTTGTTTATTTGAAGTTGAAGTTACAGATGATGCAGCTCTTTTAACATAGCACCATTTATTTGATCATTTCATAGGATACTGTGCTTTTCATTGACCCAACTAGAACATTTATTTACTATTTATGTGTGTAGTGATCGTTCAGACTATTCTCTGGTAATAAAAGCACTACAAAATGTTTTATTTGACATAACAGCACAACTCCACCTTTGGCCTTCGATTGTTTTAAAACAATCTCTCTGGTACCGGGTCAGTATGTATTTGTGTTAAATTAATTTTTTGACAATGTAGTTACTTATAAATAGTATTGTTTGTCTTTATGTATAACGGTAAACCACTGACCAACTGGTGAACAACTGAACAACTGGTGATGTCAATATCAGTGAACATTTAATGATGTTATATTGGTACATACTGTAGACTATATACAATATGTGGACTTTATAATCCATAGTATGTCAATTAGTCATTCTGCTATGCAGAAAAATGCATTTCACCAAATAAAACCAACGTTTTATTTGTTTGTTTAGGAGTTTAGGATTGCTTTTTATTAATAAAGATAAATTATTTGATGTGATTTACAGCTGTTTTTGCTGTCATTTCTCTCTTGAGGCTCTCTCTCTCTCTCTCTCTCTCTCTCTCTCTCTCCCTCTCTCCCTCCCTCCCTCCCTCCCTCCCTCTCCCTTTCCCTTTCCCTTTGGTTAGTTTCTTGTAACTCAACCTAACCCAAAAAAAGAAGAATCAGGAACCTCTGGCATATTAACTTTACAGAAATGGCACCATCTGAGGGAATTTTTTTAATATAACTACGCATTTTTACTCTCTTTGTTTCTATAATTTTAAAATAGTTTCCTAAATTATTTTTTTTTAAATAACATTATCTGATTTTATACATTAAATTCACCATTTACTGAATGTCATTATGTAAATGTGCTTGTCAGATCGAGCAAAATGCTCATGTTGTGTGTTTGTGTGTATGGCCACAGCAGATCCGTGGAGCAGATGAGATGTGGGATCATAGATTAAAACCACAAACCATACAGCCATTCACAGAAATCACATCCTCTTATACAAAACCAGGAAAACTGTATCTTCGTATGGCAATTGCATGGCAGAACAAAACAGAAAAGATATTATGTTCCAGTCAAAGATCATGTGCTTATGTTATTTTAGGACAAAAAACTGAAACAAAGACATCTTGTGATTTACTGAATACCTCACATACCTTACACAGAAGAGGACATCGATTTTTACAACACAGTCTCAAGAAAGTAAACATGTCAGTTTTTGAATAATGACTGATGAATAATAATGTAATTTAAGCCACAAAATAAACTTAAAATAAGTATAATAAATAACTATAATGAAGTATTATTCCGTTAAATAAGTATATAATGAACTACGCAAATTTTCTAACGTATCCTTCTTTTAGGCCTATATTTACCGAAAAAAATCAAACATAGTTCACCATTCACCCCTCAAGCACGTTATCAAAAACTAGGCTGGCCGTTGGCTGGAATCATAGGGTTGGATAGCTAAAAACGTCGATATAGCACACTCATGAGAATCACATTTTTTTTTATAAACAACTATTACTTTATGATCCACCGATATTATTACATTTCAAATCCACCTCATTTGAATGACGTCGACGTCTGTCAAATAATAATGAGCGAGCACAACAACCGGATGTTTTGAATGTGAGGGTGAAGATGGCGGGCTTCAACTCTGTCAGGTAACGCAATAAGTGAGTAAAATTTGTTCTTAACTTGCTGAAATTTAATCGGAGTGTACGCGTTGAAATACTTCACACTGCATGCTAAAGAGAATAAACCAGTCCAATTGAAAAAACTTTGTCGTTTTAGTGAACATTCAACATTGTATAACGTGCTGGACATTTATGCACAAAACTATGCATTCTGATATTCCTGATTTGAATATTCTATTGACTAATGCACTGTTAAATGAGAGATCTTGAGTTGAGTCCCTGTATAAACTTGAGGGGTGATTTTTGTAAAATGTAGTTTGATCAATCTTGATCACGAATCTTTTTCCGTGTCATTTGGTTCATTCAACGAACGAAATGAACGAATTGACTCGGGAAAAGATTTGTTCATTTTAATGAACGAGTTCGAACAGGAGAGTCGCAAACGCGCATCACAGAACAGAGCAAGGCGACCATTTGAGCTAATGAAACTTAAACTTTGTTATTATTTTTTCAAATGAGCAATCGTATCGCTTGATAAGACGCTTATTCGTCGTCTGTAATCGTTTAAAGCCCTTTGAACAGTTTGCACTGAAACTGTCTTTTGGACCTTGAACCGTTTGGTTACCAGTAAAGTGCATTATATGGAGAAAATCCTGGAATGTTTTCATCAAAAACCTTAATTTCTTTTCGACTAAAGAAAGAAAGACGATGACATCTTGGATGACATTGGGGTGAGTAAATGATCAGCAAAAGTTTTTTTTTTTTTTTTTAAAGTGAACTACTCCTTTAAGGCAATTATCAAAGTTTGATAAAATTTTGTTTAATTTTCCAATAAAAGATTTTGAGAAGATACATTTTTAGATGATTGATAACATTTAATTACCCCTTTTCTGTTCCAAACCGATTCAACTCCTAGCCCTCCACTATTGTTTATTGCTGCTGGTACAGGAAGCTATACAAAATATTCTCTCCTTCTTTAACGACTATTAAGATTCATGTGGTCTTTCACCAGAAGCCAATTTACTGAGGAGCTAGGTTCAACCAGACATTTCAATGAGATTTACCGTTGCGATGACTGGAAACATTATCAAAGGCCAAAGTATTTTTTTGCATGCCTTGGCATAAGCTCTCACTTTTAGGTTCAATAATCAGAAAGTCCTTCAACAAAACTTTCTTTGTGTTGTGTGTAATCTCTAAAAAAACCACAAAAAAAAAAGCCTGAAAGACAAAGATTAATAGCTCTTGAATACTTAAACTTCCTCCTTGCATACACACACACTTCTTTTGTCTCTCAAACATGACTGTCTACATAGTACATTCAAATTTCAACATATAAAGTCAACATAAATATTCTTCGCAACCAAATTTACTCCTTAACATTGAAACAAAGCTAGGCTATTCATTGAGGGGGAAAAAATGTAGGGGTTGATTTCATCCACAGGAAATAGATTGTACCATGACAAGAGAGAGTTCCACACGTTAATGGAGTCAGGTGATTGAAGGGAAGAGAATAAAAAAGTGAAAGCAAAACAAAAAAGCAGAGGAAAAAAAAACAAAAACATGAAGACAAAGCTTTTATTTTAAGTGTGCATCAGTGCATCATGCATTTTCCTGTTGACATAATTTAGAGGGAAAAACAAGAATTGTTGGCTTCATTCAGTTAAAAGTTGAATCCAGGTTTCAGTAATATATACAAATCTGTTGAGAAATATAATAAATGCATCTCCACCACAGTGAAGCATAGGTGTCTTTGTGTGGAGAGCCTTTTAGCAGCTGGTATTGATGAACTGCTTCACTGTGAAAAGTCATTTAATGCTTTGGAGTACATGAGAATATTGCTTAATGGCCTACTTCCCATAAATTAATTATGTTATCTGATGAGTAATGGTTCGATGTTATTTTTCAACAAGACAATTCTCCTACCGAAACTGTAAGGAAGACAACCAAGGCTTGAGAACAAGTCCACCAGGCTCGTGTTTGGGCCTGGTCAGAGTCCAGATTTGAACCCTAGTGTTCAAATATTTGGTATCACATTAAACTGAACTGGGAGACATCGTTCAACTAGGCTATATGAACTGTTCATCCTGTAAAAAGCTGTCTGCAAGTTGGGGAAGTGCTAAGTTACTTTATCTACAGTTTTTGTGCAATTCTCCTTAAAGGAGTAGTTCACTTTTAAAAATGTGTGTGAAATGTGATTTTATTGTGTAGCATACCTCTGATATGTCCATTGTCCAATGAGAATGTTAGAATTGTGGATGTACATTAGCCACAAGGGGGCAGGCTTCCCTACACTGTTGATCTGGCAAGTTATCTGGATGTAATCCCTTATTCAGGGTTTCCCAATCTCGGTCCTGGAGGGCCTGCTCCAACCCTGATCAAACACAATTTGAGCAAGCTAATCAAGGTCCTCAGGATCAGTAGAAACTCACAGGTAAGTCTTATATAGAATCAAAAACTGGGGAAAGAAAGAGATATGTTGCAGTATGACATATTTTAGTGAAAATTTACCTGAACATGTGCAGTTCCAATTAGGAAGAGTTTGTACATCTTGACAAAAATCAAGAGTGAAATTCTTTTAGTAACAGTTAGTGTGTATATATGAGTTGGCATGCCTGATCACACCATGGCACATGTGCACATAACATAAGCCCTTGACAGAGAAGTCTTAGTTGTGATAAATAATAATCTGACAAATCGACTGTAAAAATGACTGAATCCACCATGACAAAAAAGGGTGTGTGTGTTTGTACACGTTTAATAAATGATCACTGTCAAAAAAAAAAAAAAAAAAAAAAAAGTAACTGTGGCACTTTGTCAAACAGGACTGGTTCCACCGGAATACTGTGATTTCCCAGAAATCATAAAGCACCATTTTCTATCACGGAAATCAATCACCACCTATTCTTTTATAACGACTGAATGACAACTAGTTTTGATTCCCTTACCTAAATTATAGTAATATAACCAGGAAGGTTTTCAAAGCTACCATACCAACAGCAATTAAATGAAACGAGAAACGGAAAGTTCAACCAAACACTTGGAATTAACTGGAATATTTTGTGGTGTACTGTACATTGCTAGCGTTTTATGTGACAAGCAGGATTGCTTTAGGCTGTGTGTTTCTGTTGGAGTGATTTTATCTTGTCAATGGTTGGAGAGACACCTCAGGGTTTTCCCAGAGTAGAGAATGTTACGCCATGTCGTTTGCATGAACATCACACAATATTTGTCTATATAAATAAACTTACAGCTACAGACAAGGCGATTAACTCTAATATATTAAATATATCGGATCGGTCTTACCCAGAGCGTTTTAAACCTTGTCATAGGGTTCAAACATACCTGCGATTAACATCAACGATCAACTAACCAAAAGATGATCAATTTCTGATCCCCATTGACTTCCATGGGGACCAACAACTTTATGGTCACCAACATTCTTCAAAATGTCTTCTTTTGTGTTCAATAGAACAAAATACCACATTTGAACCAACTTGAGGGTGAGTAATTGATGGCAGAATCTTAATTTTCCTTTAAGCCGACAATTCATGTGGTCATGTTAACGCGTTAACCCGTTTTCCTTTATCACAGTAGGCCTATCATAAACAGCTTAAGCATAAGACACAGATAGATTTTTGCCCCTTACCCCAATTTCACCCCAAAATGTAAACATATTAATCTGCGTTCTGTCGTCTGCGACAGGAAAGCGTCCATGCGGATTACAAACGTTATGTGGTGAGGGAGAATATATCGCCTGCATCTGACTGAAATTATTTTAAAAAATGATACAAAATTCTGCATCAACTGCATGAGAGGAGAGAGTTTCCAGCTGACTTTTTTTTTGTTTTTTTTTAACATCACAAATGACA